GGGCCATTTTCTCAGTCTTCGTGGTGGATTTTTCTAGGCCAGCAATTTTCTCTTCTACATTTGAGATTCTATTTTCTGTATGATCTAGTCTGCTTTTAATACTTTCAAGGGAGATTTTGACTTCTTGTATTATAGCCTTCATCTCTAACAGTTCCATCTGATTCTTTTGTAAAGTGTGAAATTCCTCTTTTAGATCTTGCATGAATTTCCTCACCTCCTGGAACTCTTCAACTCCTTTCTCCTTCCTCTTCAGCAGTTCCTTGTCTCTCTTCTCTTCCATCTCTGTTAGCTTTGCCATTATGAATGTTCTGAATTCTTTATCAGACATTTCCATGATTTCCATTGAACTGTGTGTGGATAAAGAGGAGCTATCCTTTTCCCTTGTGGGAGAGGTATTTTCCTGCTTCCCCATATTTCTTGTGGTCCTGCAGCGATTTCTAGTCATCTGGTGGATGGTCGGTTTCTTCCCAAACTTGGAAGTTCAATCAGAGGGTCGAGGAGTGTGCAGAAAAAGAAGCAAAGAGAGGGAAACAATACCAACAGCAAAAGAACACGCGAGTTCTGGATGCTGGAGGCCCAGTTATCAGTGGGACATCTTCCTTTCTCCCAAAATGGCTAGATCGCAGGAGCCATGGAGCTGTCTGTCTCTTGAAGAAAGCCTGTTGTGTTCCCTTCTCGAATGGCACATAGTTTCAAAAGATTTAGTCACTTCCATGTTGAAAGTTAGAAGAAAAATATGTAGACTCAGCCTAACCAAAGGAAAAAAAAATTCGTTGAGTTGAATACGGAATATTATCTTGATTGCTGAGAATCTTATCACCCTTGTTTAACGTGAGTTTACTATCATCCTTTGTGTTAGATTTTTTGTTTTGTGTTTTAAGGTTTTGCCATAGAGTGTGTTCTCTTGCTGGAGAGAAGGAAAGTGAGAAATCACCCTCTGGGGATCATAGCCACACCACAGTCCCTTCTCCTTCATTCTTTTCTTGGGATTTTGGGCACACACACATGTGCCAACATGATTTTGAAGCCATTGGATCCAGGACTTCAACTGTAGTCGGCCCTGTGAGAACCCAGCACCATAGCTATCCCACCACCTGCTGGCCTTGTGTTGGGTTTTTGATTGACCTCTAAGTGATTAAAGCTTTGGCTAACAAAAAAATTGCAGCCAGTTAAGACTTATTTTCACTTATGACAATAAAGAGCTAAAAGTCAATGTGATGGGTTACCACATTTTATCCAGTAAACAGCAGGTTGCTCAACCTTTAGGAAAATTGATATTATAGTTTGTGTGTATGTATGTATGTGTGTGTGTGTGTGTGTGTATACATATAGTGTATATATATGTGTGTGCAAGAGAGGAATTATAATTATGTAATAATTTGCTTTCATAAGTTCAAGATTCACGAATAAACTTCCTGTGCCTATTTGATTAGTCTAAATTTATTTATTTATTTGTTTATTTTAGAGAGATTTTTGCTGTAGGGCACATGCACTCGTCAGAGAGAAACAAGAGAGACAGAAAGCGAGAAATTACCACCTGGGGGGATGGCCATGCTGCAATCCATTCTCCTCCATGCTCTTCTTGGGTTTGGGCATGCATGAACACATACCTGGAATGAATTTCAAGCCACTGGGTCTGGGACTCGAACCACGGTCAACCATGTTGGAGTCTAGCAACGTAGCCATTACACCATCTCCTGGTCCCAGTGTAAATTTGTTTGTTTTGTTGCCATCCCCCCAACTTCCACTCCTAGAGAGATGCTTTCTCACTGCCCCGTCTTCTGGCAAGTCCATGTACCATGCAGTAAATTTAAATAAATAAATAAAATGTTCCAGGGAGATAATTACTTTCACCTCACAAGAGTGAGCAGCTATGAAATACCATTTTTTTCTGGAAAAAATTTTTTGGCACAAATTCAGTAACAATTAAAGAGAATTGTCCCAAACTAGTGCAGTTTAATTATTATAATATGTATAAAAACCAGTATATGAATCCTATTAGAGAGGGGATTGGACTCTTTCTATGATAAAAGAAGGAAAATAACTTTAAATAAAAATTCTAATTTTCACATAATTACTGCAAGTTTAGGTTTACTAATCATTGGAGATAGGTCAAAATTTCCTAAAGGTTTAGTACTTTTTTGGTGGTAATATTGATAAAAATAGACATACCTATGCTATTATCCAGTGACCCAGAAACTAATCTGTGACTAAATAGAGCTGAAATGTTGATTCGTTCTTTTGACTTCTAAGAAGCTGAGGGTTAGAAATTGAGAATTTACCTTTACCTCTTGTTTCTTACTCTGGAAGTGATCTTGGCAGAACAAATTTAGCTACTTGAACATTTTGTCTAGGCAAGCACTGTTATTAGGTCATGCTTTTTATTATTTTATATATATTTAAACTTCCTGTCCTGTTTTGTTTTTAGTTTTATAGGGCATGTATGCCCACCATACGTTTAAACTTTTTAAAAAACAACCACTCCCCCACCCCTAGATTCTTAAATTTTCATTTAGACTTGTGGTGGAACATAATCACTTTTTGACAACATAAAACACAGATAAATGCTTTTACAGTTCAACTATTTTTGTTTAAATTGCTCAATTGAGTAATATGTATTCAGTATATATGTAATAGTTTTGAGAGCATTGTTATTGTCTTAGGATATGGTTCACCTATAATTGATCTCAGAAAAAAAGACAATAATCTAGTGATTACCCCAGTGAAGAAGACCTGGGGGAAAGTAACAAAGATGTATCTTTTGTCTTTGTGTCTTTAGGATATTAAAAAGAAGTACATGTGAGATACACATGCATACAAATTTATTGTTTTTATCCCTTCTGCTGATGTCACACATTCTCTATCACAGTACAAAAATAGCACAATAGTTTAAGTTTTTGCTTAAATTATTTCTAAACGTAAAATTTAAAAAGTTATCATTTTAATGTAATGCAAATTATTTTCAGCATGACCAATAATATCTTTCTTTTTACACCCCACCCACACTCCCCAGCCAGAGAGAGAGGGATAGGAGAAAATATTCCCTATGGAGAATGATCACATCACAGTTCCTTCTCCTCCATCACTCATCTTGTCATGGACACATACATGCACACACACCTACCTGGTGTCCTCCTCACGCTGCTGGGTCTGGGGCTTGAGCTACAAGATTAGTTATGTGGGATCCAAATACCTTAACCACTAGACCACAGAGTTACCCCAACTTTCACCCTTTTTATTAGCCTTTTTGTCGCTACAGATCTTGTCTTCCAAATGAGAACTGGGATTTTGGTTACATTTGGTTCTGTGTTGTATGAAAG